AAAGAACAGCAATTTCTATAATTAAATAGCACCATTATCTTACACATGATGATGTTTTAGAAATCATTTTTGCAAAGGCAGGAGCCATTCCAATGCTCCCAGCCTCTTCCTAATTTTTTTATTTTTCCGAAATGCTGAGTTGTCCAGCTCAGAGACCCCCGAAGGTTCGTGTTGGGTCCCCCATTCCTAAATTTCCATGACCAAAACCTAGCTGCAGACTCGTGCGATAGGGTGCCACTGCTGATGTGGCAGGTGCCCACATGTGTGTCACAGGGCAGGCAGACTCAGCAGGAGGGTGCTCTGAAATACATACCTCTACTCCAATGATAAAGGGGAAACACACAAATCGCCAGGGTAGAAACAGAGATAAAGGGGGAACCTATAGATTAAAGGCTTATTTCAACCAATTGCAATATATGAATCTTACTTGGATCCTGATTCTTACAACACAAACTATGACAAAAAATATGACATTTATGAGATAGTTAGAAATTTGAACTGACTGGATATAACTGAGGAATTATTGCTAATTTTTTAGATGTGATAATAGTATTGTGGTTATAGTGTATATATAAAAGACCCCTTATCTTTTAAAGATACACACACTGAGATACAGATGAAATGATAAGATCCCTTGGATTTGTTTCAAAACGACATGGGGCAGAGCTTCAAGTTATCTGTAGAAGGCACAGGATTGGCCATGGATTGTGGTCATGGGATTGAAGGGTCATGGGCTTCATTATACTACCCTATCTACTACTGTAAATGTTTGAGATTCTCCATTGCAAAACTGAAAAAAGATATTTTTGTGAAAAGATGGTGGATAGGCTCTAATATGACAACATCCCACTAGGAAAAAAGTTACCTGCCTTTGATTTTATTATTTTATTTATTTATTTATTTAGGGGCACCTGGGTGGCTCAGTTGGTAAGTGTCTGCCTTCGGCTCAGGTCATGATCCCAGGGTCCTGGGATCGGGCCCAGCATCGGGCTCCCTGCTCAGCAGGAAACCTGCTTCTCCCTCTCCCACTCCCCCTGTTTGTGTTCCCTCTTTCGCTGTCTCTCTCTCTGTCAAATAAATGAATAAAATCTTTAAAAAAAAAAGAGAGATTTATTTATTTTAGAGAGAGAGGAGGAGCAGAGGGAGAGAGAGCATCTCAAGCAGACTCCCTGCTGAGTATGGAGCCAAAGTGGGCTTGGATCCCACAACCTGTGAGATCATGACCTGAGCCGAAATCACGAGTTGGATGCTTAATCGACTGAGCCACCCAGGTGCCCCTTACTTGCCTTTTAAATTATCTCTCCACCCTTCTCCACTCAAGGAGCAAGGCCCTTTGATTGGGCCAGTCTGTCTTTGATATTGTCTAGTGCTTGATCATATTGCAGGCCTTGGGTTCTGAGCCTTTGGCAGGACACAGTGTCTATTTGTAACTTGATGGCATCCCTTTTTTTCATTGTATTTATTTTTTGGCTACTTCTATTTTTGCAACTGATACTGATTTTCTCTTTACAGAAGTGACAAAGTTTTATTCTTAAATACATGTATGTAAACAATCTGATTTAAAGACAAATAGTACAGGGGTACCTGGGTGGCTCATTGGGTTGTGTCCAACTCTTGATCCCAGCTCAAGTCTTGATCTCAGGAGCGCAAGTTCGGGCCCTACATTGGGCTCCATGCTGGGTGTGGAGCCTACTTAAAAAAAAAAAAAAAAAGACAAATAGTACAGGTGGTACTCAGATAGCATAGGATTTTTTTTTAGGGTGGGGGGAAATGACAGAAGTGTGGGAGGCATTGATACCAGTTACAGGAAACATTTCCTTATTTTATTTACCACGTGGACAACCATCTAACACAAATCTGAGGTCCCTTCCATCCCGGAGAGTCTCTGTGCCTGGAGCAAGATGGTCTGCTCAGGCCCACTGTCTCCTTGAATTTCAGATAAAGCACTTGACACAGAGAAGGGGGCCAATGGCAGGCAGTGGAATCAGATCACACACAGAAGGCTGGCTGCCAGAATGGGCCCAGACACCAACCATTACCAGGTTCAGAATCAACTAAAACAAAGGAGGAGGGACGAAGGGGAAAATGTTTTATCCATCATTTTGTTGTTTCCCATTGGTTGTTTTCTGCTGGGGGAAATTTCCTGTCTTGAGTGAAGCATACAAGGGGGTCAGCAAGCTGTGCCTACCCAGATTTTTTTTTTTTTTTTAAGATTTTATTTATTTGAAAGAGAGAGAAAGAGCTCACAGGAGGGGGGGAGGGGCAGGGTGAGAGGGAGAAGGAGACGCCCACCAATGGTAATGTCTTGCAAAACCGGAGGATAATACTGCAACCAGAAAACTGACATGGATACATTCAAGATATAGAACATTTCCATCACCACAAGGACTTCCCCCGTTGACCGTCTATAGTCACATCACACCCAGGCCCACTTGGCCAGACCCTCACCCTTGGCAATCACCCAGCAGCTCTCCATTTCTAGAACTTTGCCACTTCAAGGATGTTCTATGAATGGAATCACACAGTATGTAACCTCTGGGGATTGGCTGTTTTTCCACTTGTAATTCCCTGCAGATTCATCTGAGGTGTCCATGTATCACTTGCTCATTCCTTTACTGCTGAGTAGGACTGCATGGTATGGGTGGATCACAGTCTGTTTAACCGTCATCCATGGAAGGACCTCTGTGCTGTTTCCACTTAGGGGTTACTCTGAATAAGGCTTCAATGAACATTTTATGTACAGGTTTTTGTGTGAACATAAACTTTCATTTTTCTAGGATAAATGGCCAAGAGTGTGTATGTTTGTTTTTAATGAATTGCCATATTTTATATTCAGGATATTTCACCTGAAAAAAAAATCCATGTTCCTGATTTCTCTTCAATAATCACAATATCTGGAAAGATGGGGCACAGCAACTCACGATCCTAATGGGCCAGAGCACTCCAGTCCCCTAATGCCCTGCCTTGTCCCTTTTATTTATTTACCTGCCTGGCAAGGCTCCTGGTTTACCAATTTAAGCGGGCAGAATTGGAACACAATGAGTTTTTTATATATACATGTCTACAATTTCTCTGCTCAAGCAGAAAACACTGGTTGCCTATGGGGAAGGGTATCCAGTTATGGGACAGTGAGGGGCAGTCACTGTTACTATGAGCCCTTTGGGGCCTTTTTAGTTTAAACCATCTGACTCTTTTAGTTTGAACCATCTGACTGTATTACCTACTCAAAAATGAATAAAATGTGAAAAGAAGAACACTAAAATTTCCTCACAGATACCCCCTCTGGTGCTGCTTTTCCCATACCAACTCTTCTGTTTATTCAGAGAAGAGAACCTATTGGAATTTCCCCTCCCAGAGTACCTGGTTCTACACAGGGAAAACTCTCTAGCTCTGGGATCTAATTTCCCCTAATGTACGCATTCCCTGGTCTGGGATCTTAAGGGTTTGACCCCAAAACACACCTCAGTATCATCCAAAAGCCCGATGACCCCTGGGGGGCAAACACAGACACATGTGCGCCTCTCTGAACCCCAGTAAGGTATCTGTGCCCAGCCCAGGGGCCACCTCCTCCAAGAAGCTTTCCCAGCCTGACTGAAATTCAGGGTCTCCTTCCTTGTCCTGCAGTGGCATTAATATGTGCCTTTCTGGTTACAATTCAGTGCACACTTCCTGAACCTTTTACAAGAGCCGGGCTGGGGCACCCTCGCCCCACCCCTTTCCTGACCTCCCACTAGACTGCCCCCCATACCCCCGCCCCGCAATAGATGAACATTTTAGAGGCACTGGTGCACTTTGTATCCTCTGAACTCACCGCTCATGTAGCTCGTGCAAGTCACGACAAAGGCATCTACAAACCACAGAGCACAAAATGTAGACTGAGTTTAAGAGCTAAGATTTCTGCATGCAGACGAATTCAGTGATGCTGAACCGAGGGGAGAGGGGATAGAGTGTGCCCCGGCAGTGTTGGTGCTCTAAATCCACCCCTTGGGTAAACTCCCTAGGACTTACAGAATACAGGAGGTGTAGGGCAGAAAATAGGGCTCTGGGATCTGAGAGCCCTAGCGCTGCCCTTCTTGTTGGGTGATCTTTGGGCCACTCAATCTGTTTCCTTCTGGAGAAATGGGGATCATAACTTCTCTCTGGCAAGGCTGTATGGAGGTTAAAGTGGGAGGAAGCACCCAGCCGGCCCTCAGTGCTTCAGCAGGTCGCTGCCGCTTACGGAACCCGGGTCCCTCTTCTGGAAAGTACGACCGGGACGAAGTGCACCTCGGCACTCCGCATCCCAGATTTCCGGGGTGCCTGTCCCTTTGCATGTTGACGGTCAGTCTCTCCGACCGAGCTCACGGTCACGGTCACAGTCGCTCAGCCGCCTCGTTTGCGCTGCGCCCAGGCCCGGCTCAGTCGCTAGAGGCGCTGAAGAGAGCCGAATGAATGACTGCACGAATGGCTGGAAGGCTCCGCACTGGCGCCCAGTAACAGCCAGAGTTTGAAACCACCGGGTATGAGCGTGTAGACCAGAAAACTGCGCAGTGATTCCCGCGAGGTCGAGGAGTGGCGGGCAGGCGCGCGAATTCAGGCTGACCCGACGTGGGCGCGCGCCCTAGCGCTTCATTCCCCGCCTGACAGTGGCTCGGGCTCGGGCTCGGGCCCCATTCCCCACGTGGCCCGGGGCGCGTGCCCCACCTCATTACCCACCCCCTCCCCCGCCCGCACTGCGTGGCCGAGGGCGCGCGCGCTCCAGACCCTCCCTCCGCCCGGCGTGGTCGAGGGCGCGCGGGCCCGGGCCGGGGGTGGGGTCGCCGCGGGCTCGGCCCCCTCAGTTCCCGCGCTCGGGCCCTGCCGGGGCCCAGGAAGTGGCCCTAGGCCGCGGCCCTCGCTCCGCCTCCTCCCTCCCGCGCTCATCACCTGCTGGCCCGGCGCTCGCGGGCGGGGGAGGAGGGCACGAGGGGGAGCGCGCGGGCGGAGAGGCGCCGGGTCGCGGGAGGTGAAGCGCGGCGAGGATGGCGGCGCGGGGCCGGGGACTGCCGCTGCTGCTGCACGCGCTCTCGGTGCTGCTGGCGCTGGGCCGCATCGCCGCGGCGGCCAAGCTCAACATCCCCAAAGTGCTGCTGCCCTTCACGCGGGCCACGCGCGTGAACTTCACGCTGGAGGCCTCTGAGGGCTGCTACCGCTGGTGAGGCGCGCGGCCCACGGCCGGGGGAGGGAGGGCCCTGGAGGCCAGAAGGCCGGCCGGCGGGAGCGCGCTGCAGGTGCGCCGGCTCGGGGAGAGCGCGACCGCGGCTCGCGGGGCTGGTCCGGCGGGGCCTGCGGGCACGCGCGGCTTCCGGGCTGGGGCGGGCGCCGGGGAGCGGGGGTGGCGTGGCCGGCGCGGGGGCCGGGCGCGCCCCCAGCAGGCCCGCGCGCAGCAGGTGCGCCGGCGCGCGCTCTCCGGGCACCCGGGCGGCGGCCAGGCGGTCACGGCCGGCCAGAGCGGCTGGCCGCGCCGGACTCGGCGGCGTGCGCGCGGGTTGCCGCCACTGCGCATGGCGCCGCCTGGGCCTCCGCGTCGCTCGGGCTGGAAGGGAGCGGGGCCTGGCCCGCAGCTAACTATTTGTGGTCTGTGCGCCAGGAGGGGCTCAAGAGTCGGCCTGACTTGAGGAAGGGCGTCCGAAGCTGTGGAGGGACCCGGGAAGGCCCTACCAGGGAAGCGGGTCTTCAGGACTTCCCCTGGGGGGAGAGGAATGCACTGGAGCTCCTGGGCCTGGGCCGGGGATGGGGGTCCACGTGGTCTTACTTCCCGTTCTTGTCCAGGACTCCGGGGAGCGGGTGGTCAAGGCCCTGCAAAGCCCTAGTCTGGAGACGCAGGTTTCTTGATTTTGTCTAGTGATGGGAGACTCATCCCCGGCGCCGGACTGGTGTGGGAATTGGGTTTGTGGAGAAGCCTGAAAGGCGTGTGTGGGAAGAATCATATCCGTTCAGCCTCTTTGGGAGGAACATAAACCTCTGATGAAAGGTCTTGCGGGGGAAACCCTAGGGACCCATTTTACAGATGAAAAATGAAACGCAAGGAATGGTTGGTGATTCACCCCAGGTTGTCCAGGGTGGCGTCAGCCTTTGTGCTCGAACCTCAGGCTTTTTTCGACAACTCCCCTCCTGGCTTCCTGGGGAATTCCGGAATTCTACGTTCATTGTGGGGGGTGGGATCTTGGAAACCCCAGAAACTAATGAAACTAGAGGCCTCTGCTCCCCTTCTTTCGCCCTAGACAGAGAGACCTGGCTAGGCCCCTGGCTGGGCAGGGTGATGTGGTCCAGACCTTCTGTCCAGCGGACTGAGAAGGACCGAGAAGAATGCAGCTTCTACTCTTGCCGGGGGTGGGGGGAGACAGCCCCAGTGTGACTGAGGCCCCACCCACACCTCACAGCCCCACCTTGCTAGAGATGAAAGGAGGCTCTCTGGGCCATGGGCATCCAGGAGACACTTCTGCCTCTCCCTTTCTTTACCTGTTCGATGCCTGGGTCAGTGTTGAAGCTTACCAAGGTGTGATCACTGTTAATAGAGAACCAAATGTGTGTGTATGTTTTAAGTCTGTTTGCGTATCAGTCTGCGCGTATATGCAAGGATGGTCCCCAGAACTCAGAGGCACATTCTTCCTCAATAGTACTACCTGTGGCTATTTATTTTCGGAAAGTCAGCCTCCTGAAATAAGGTCATGCTATGTCAGCCAATTGTATTTTGGGTTTTAGTGCATCATGCACCTGGAGGGCCTTGTTCCTGGCTTGGTATCCGAGGCTGAGCTTTGGGCTTAAGGTTTTCTGTATCCTTGACTAGGGCCTTGTCTTGTGTGGGAGGATGAGCTGTTAGTCCGTGCTTTCAGGAGATAGGTGCTTGTTCTCTGGTTGAAGTTGTCTGTTCTTCTTGATATATGGGCAAGAAAGAGGAAGCCGGTTATTAAAAACAGCTGACTTCAAATGAAGCCCTTTGGATGACTTTGGACGCTATTTCCTTTGAGATTCTATAACTGTACTTCTTTTTTTCCTGAAGTAACCTTTTTTTTTCCAAGTACATTTTCTTTTCTGAGAGACTCTGGTGGTTTTTAATTTACTTGTATAGCTTCTTAGGAGGAAGGGAAAAAAAAACCATTCCTAATCTCTCATGCATCAGAGAAGTGCTAAGTACCTTATAACTTGTTTTGCATCTGATCCATAATTTTTATTGCAAATGTGTGACTTCTTAGCTTAAGTGTCTCCTCAGAGGTGTTTTGCAGTTGTGATTTTCCCCTTAACTTCACAGGAAAATCTTCCATCAATCAAGCATTGAAAATACTTATTTTTAGCAGAGCTGTTCTTACTTGAGTCCTCTGTTGCTTTAGTTTTTGAAGAATCTCCTCTGGAGATTTTAAGAGTTGGCATGCAGACAAGCTATATATCCGTAATTATCTAAACTGGGGAGGAAAATACCCTCTTCATCCAAGAAGTTCATTGTTAAGTCTGAGATGAAGAACAAAAAATAAAAAATAAAAACTCTCCTGGACCTTGGGGGAATTTTTGCTCAATCCTTTGAATTTGGGGCCAGGCTCCAAGTTGACTGAAATCACTGCATGCCTCAGCCGGTGGCTCTAAGTTAACTTTTCCTGTTTCTTGATTTTGTGGCATCAAATAATCGGACAGTTTTCCGGCCCTAGGAGCCATAGAGATTGTGTAGTCTAAACTGCCCACATTGTCCTCTGAGCCTCAGAGAAGGAAGGGCTCTGTGTGATGTCGCATAAATACAGGTGGCCCCCGACTAACGATGGCTCCACTTAGATTTTTCAACTTTACAATGGTGCGAAAGTGATACTCGTTCAGTAGGAACAGAATCTGGAGCTTTGAATGTGGATCTTTGCCCAGACTGGCGACACGCAGTAGGACACCCTCCCATGACGCTGGGCAGTGGCAGCCGCCGCAGCTCCAGGCCAGCCGTGTGATCACAGGGTCAGCCACCAATACCCTTACAACCATCCTGTACTCACTCAGCCTTCTGCTTTGCACTTTGAGCACAGTATCCAGTAAGTTACACGATCCACTCAGCACTTTATTATCAAACAGATTTGTGTTAGAGGCTTCTGCCCAACTGCAAGCTAATGTCAGTGTTCCCAGCACGGTTAGTGTAGGCCAGGCTGCCACGCTATGATGTTTGGTATGTTTGGTGTATTAAAGGCAATTTCGACTTCCGATATTTTCAACTTCAGATGGGTTTATCGGGGCCTAACCCCGTCATAGGTTGAGGAACATCTGTGGTGAAGTCTCTGAGTTGTGTGGGAGCTCACAGGGATGCCCCCATTCCCACCCCATTCAGGGGCTTGTGGCCTCGGTTGTATTTGCTGGGCACTGATTAAATCCTTCCAGTTGCATTGCTGGTTATGAGTTAAGTTTCTTATTCTTTCTTGCTATTTTGTGTTTTTGAAAGTGTTCCATGAAGTATCTTTCATTAGGTTTTTTTTTTAAGATTTTATTTTTAAGTAATCAACATGAGGCTTAAAGTCACGACCCCAAAATCAAGAGTTGCATGCTTCACCAACTGAGCCAGCCAGGTGCCCTAAATCTTTTTTTTTTTTTAAGGTATCCTTTTATATACAAAATGACATTATATAGAAAATTGGGAAAGTAGAGAAAAAGAGAAATATACTGTAATCCTTCAACTGTAACACAGCCAGTCACCACTTGGGCTTCCTTCTAGTCACTAATTGTCCCCCTTGGAGCTCGTACCTGGTGTTTGGGCCACTCGGTACCCTCCTCTGCCAACCACCAGCTCACGTTAAGACTCAAGTATTTTTCTCTGGTGCTTCATTATCTTCCTAAGCTTTAGGTGTCTGAGCACCATTCTGCTTGGTAGCTGTTCCATCATCTGCTCATGCTTTTCCCTGTGGTTGAAGTCCCAGGGTGTTCTGGTTTCCCCAGTGGGCTGCCCTGTCTTGGAGAAAGTGTCTTAGGTTGGTACAGCCTGAGGTGAGGATTTGGTTGTGGGTGCTTTATTTGAGAGGGTGCTCTCCTGGGAGGCAGGACAGGGAAGAGAAAGGAGATGAGCAAGGATGGGGTCCCAGAGAAAGTCAGTGTGACCCTTGGGACCCTGTGGAGTTGAGTTCTACCTCAAGTCCACCTCCTTGAGGTAAGGGGGAGAGCAAGCTTTTGAGCTTTTCTGTCACCCGTGATCAGCCAGCCATTGGTTGCTGCCGGGGGAAAGGGGTGTTGCACAACCTCTGGGGCCTCCAGGTGAGGCAGGCCTCTTGGCTGGGGGTGTCTGACTGGACAAGGTTCTGTGCGTACACCATGAGCTGCCGTGCTGCCCCCTGCTGAGGGGAGGCGGATCGGCCTCGTAAAGGGCATGCCATGGCCCCCACTAAACCGCTGTGCCCAGAATTCTCCCGCTTTCTTGTTCCGGAACGTCTCCTCAGGGCACTCTGGAGCTGCCTGGTGTGTCTGCCAGGCTTGGTCCTAAAGCAGGGTGCCCTTCTCAGCCACAGGTATGAGGATTCTTGGGGAGGCAAATGGGAGCCCTTCCGGCTGCATGGGTCCCCACACAGTGGAACTTGTCCTTGGTGTGTGTTCTGTCCCACGCACCTCCGCTCCCCCTTGGGAATCCGTGGGCATGAAAGAGCTAACAGTCCCTCTGTCCTTGGTGACCTGTAGTGGTGCGAGGTCCAAGGCCAGCAGCACCTCCTGGGGCCTCTCTGCCCGCCCCCCCGTGGAAGGAAGCAGCCGGTCCTCTTGCAGCCTGGGGAAAGTGGGAGAGAAAGGGTCAGGGAAAGGGTTTCCTCTGGCTCTTCCAAAACCCCCTCTACACACTGAGCGAAGCTGGAAAGGCCTCCAGCCCGGGTGCCTTCTGCTGAGCTCCCACTCAGCCTGCAGGACGGAGGCTGGTCACATGTGGGTAGCTGGACAGGTGACGAGGCAGGAGAACCCAGGGGAAACTGGAGAATCAGGCACTAACATTAAAATAAAAAATTTACAGTGTGAAAGCTTAACCCAAAAAGTGGGTTTCATTCGGCCAGAGGCCACCAGTGCTCACTGTGAAGAATCATCCTGCCCAAACGCCCATGGGGGGGTGGGGTGGGGGCGGGGGCAAGCACTGATCAGCAACACAAATGTCACCCATGAGGGCTGGGGGTCCACTTACCAGGTGATGAATATTTGTGACTTAGAACTGATCCAGGCACG